GTGGAAGTCCTCTCCCTGATAAGTTTTTCACTCCCGCCTTCACAAAGCCCTGATGAGGAAAGGGGCAAGTCAGGATTGCTCCTGGTGTGAGGGGATTGAGAGGGGTTGAGTTCGGGGCCTCCCAAGCACCCTGGCACCCCTGTGATTCTCTGTTACTTTATCTCCCTCTACAGGTGTTGAGGGCCATCAGCTTGGGCAATGTGGATCCCATCAATGCTGGCTTTGCTACCATGGGCTTCCCCAACTGCAGGGGGACTACTGACAACACCCATATCCCCATCCAGGCCCCTGGCCACTGGGCATCTGAATACATTATACAGACGGGGTACTTTTCAATGGTTCTGCAAGCCCTCATTGACCACCATGGCTAGTTCACAGATATATATGTCAGGTGGTCGGGGAAGGTGCAAGATGCGGAGTCAAGAGGTCGTGACCGCTCCCCTCTTACAGCTGATCCAGGTGTGGAGAACAAAGAGAAGGACAGTCATCCTGGGAGACACTGTGCATGAACCCTAGTGTTCATCTCTAAGCCAAGACCCAAAGGCCTCAGGTCAGACGAAGGCGATGTGCTTCAAGCAAGGCCATCTGAGGCCTGCACAGTGGGACCTTTCTGGCAGGGGTGCAAATGTCCAAGGGGGGGAGCCTCACTACCCCCCATGTCCTGGGCACAAGCAGGCATGGGAAGGTGCCAGCCAGACCAGGAGCCTGCCGGCAGGAGGAACACCAGGGACCGGCTCAGCTTCCCTCCATGCCGTGCACATGCTGGGCCCAGCCGAGGCAGTGTCCCACACGGAGAGGACTTGTATCCCTGCTTGCTGGAGGAGAGGGGGGCAGGATGTTGGGAGGAGGCATGTGTGAGCAGCAGATGCTCCTCCACCTCGCCGCACTGTCCCCAGGAGCGGATGCTGCCCCAAGAGTACAAGCATGCCCATGTGCAGCAGTCTGGAGTGTGTGTGTGTGGGTGCGAAGGGGGTATCTTCATGTTCCCAGCCTCCTTCTAGTGGTGGCTCGTGGTGGGAGGGTGTCCCACCCCACTGCTGGGAGTAAGGCAGGCCTCTCCAGACACCCTGGGAGCCAGAGTGCAAGGGTCCTCTTTTGCTGCCTCCCTGGACTGGCGATCCATGTGCACAGGCTGCTGTGTGATCCCCAGACCTAGAAGGCTGAGTGAGGAGCACAGAGCAGCCTCTCACCACCCACCGCCTCCACCTGTCTGTGTCTAGGGAAAGTAATGGCACTCATCTGAGGGGCCTTCCCCAGCTTTGGATGATGCCCAGGAGACATCCTGAGAGGGAGGTACCAGCTACAGGGCAAGCATGACATCCTGGCTGGCAGGCATGGAGCTGGTGATGGTCTTGTCCGGCTCCTCCTCCTCCTCAGCACCAGCTCTGCTCCCTGAGAGTGTGACAATGAGCATCTCCAGCCCAGAGTCCACAATGAGGTGGGGGGGATGGGAATGCCCCCCCTCCCAGGATGCAATGTAGCTATTTGTAGTAGGGGCAAGCCTGGGGTGATGCCCCTAAGCTGCGCTCCCTGGCCTTCCTGTAGGCCTAGTGCCATTCTTTGACCTTCGTGTGCATCTGCTCCTGGGTGCGCATGTGGCCCTTGTGGCCCGGCTTTCAGCCATCCGGCTATAAATGTTCACACTCCTGTGTCTGGTGCAGAGATCCCGCTGGTTTTCCTCCTCGCCCCAGATCTCTAAGAGATCTACAATCTCTGCATCGGACCAGGATGGTGCCCTCCTTTTTTGGCCCCTAGAAGGATCCTGGGAGCTGCCTGAGGCAGTACTAGCAGCTGTGGGGGGGTTCATCTGGAGCAGTGAGCTTGGCAGCAGGGAAGGCTGTGCAGGATTCTGCTGTGTGGCACAATGCGAGCAGGGCCTGATTTGTGCCATAAACCCTTTTCCTTCTCCCTGAAGCTGGAAGGGAAGGGAAGGGAAGCTATAGAGTTCTGATGATTGTGGACAGAGTGGCCAGTAGGGCACCTGTGAGATTTCCTGGAGACCACTTATTTCAAAATAACTCCAGCTGCCCTGTCTACACACACCTTATTGTAAAATAGCTATTTTGGAATAGGCATTATTCCTTCTAGAATGAGGGTTACAGAATCTGGAATAAGATGCCTGTTATTGCGATATTATTTCAAAATAGCAGCCTTACTGTGTAGACAGTTATTGGAGAGTTATTTCGGAATAATGTCCGTTATTCTGGAATAACGCTTGGAGAGTTATTTCGGAATAATGTCGTTATTCTGGAATAACGCTGCTGTGTAGACATATCCAGAGATGCCTGAAAAGGAGTGCCCTCAAGTAGGCCATGGAGGAGTTAAGGGTGCTGTCGCCCCAGAACTGACATACCTGGTGGTAGCAGTGTGATAATATAGGGTCCTCAAGTTACCACCCAGCCTTCATAAAGCAGCATGTTTATTCAGAACAAAACGATTATAGCTTACCCAGTGTTATCTGTCGTCCACCAGGGACCCAGGCAGTTCTGTAAACAAGTTTGTCAATTCTTTGTTACAGAGTTAGTCAGCCCTGAGCCAGGTCAGGCTGACCCTTTATACATAGTTTTGAGACCTTTTTTTCCTAGGCCTTCTGAACTACGTAAAACCAATCTCTTGTCACTTTGCCTAGAGACCAAAGCTGCAAAGGGCTGGGTATCTGCATAATCGACATTTGGAATTCGCAATAATCGTCCCTTCCTCTCTGCAGTAATTCCACAGGAAACCCACTCAGAGAGCCAGGAACACAGAGCTATATATTACACGTATAATAGTCTCTGAATTTCCTGTGTGTCCATCAATCAAATCTGGCACAAATCAATATACTTGTCTTTGAAGCTTCCATGTTGCCAGTCTCACACCTGTCTCACCCTTCTCACCGGTAAGCTGTTAATGAAGACCTGGCCTTGCCTTTCTCAGCACAGATGAACATTTTAAGTGTGAGCCTGTGATTTTTAGAAAAAAAATCTCTAGGTAAAAATCTCAAATTCTATTAATAGGAAACTAAACCAACAAATACAAAACATCCACTTTAGCACATTAAGAAAGTAAAGTTCTGCCAACGTGTACCTACAATTTTTTTAATTAAAAATGTATTTTTGTGAGTCATGGGTTTTTAAAAAAAAGGTAGTCAAAGTGACAATTATAAGACCTATTTATAGTAGACCAAAAATAATTATTTGATATGAATATACACTTCATCCTCCTGATGTCACTTTAGGGCTATGTGATTGCCCATGAATACTAAAACAACAGACATTTATTCTACTTAAACATACAAAATTATGTACTCTTAAAATTGCTGACAATTTGCCTTACGTTGCTACCAGAGAAGTATTTTATATTGGTTGATATAGGAATATTTATGGCAGAATTAGGGATGTGAAAAACTCTTAAAAGCAATCACACAAGATCTGGAGTGGTGGCAGCAATGAAAACATTTTGAAAGAATGAAAGAGCACTAGGGGCAGAGCTTGGAACAGTTTCCAAACCAAACACCCACTTGAAACTGGTCAGCTTAACACATTACAGAGAATGAAGTGCCTGCCTACACAACCATGTAAAGTAAAAGGTGAAATATGAGTCAATGTCCCTCTCTCACACCCGCACACCCTCCCCTCACATCCACTAGTAGACATGTCTCTGCTAATTTGACACTCACCAGGCTGCTATGTTTGGAGATGGCCTCATTGGACCCCCTTGCTTTAAGCCTCCTTAGTCTGAAGAGGCAGTTCTCTTACCAGGTCTCTAGGACTATTATCTGAGAGCTGATGCTCTTTCTGTAGGGTGGACCATATGTTTTAGCCAGGACAGTCCCTTTTATAAGTCCTGTCCTGGCCATCCTGATTTTTTCTTCCAAAAAGTGGGAAGTGGAGGAACATGTCAGGGGTCGAGTAGCAATACCAGCCCCAGCGTTTGGGAAATATGATCATCTCTCTATATAGCATCTCTTTCTAAGAGCTGAGGTGCTGCAGTCCAACTGTTTAGATCCTCTGAGTAATGCTGGCTCCCCCAGACTCTCCCATGGCTTAAGCACACATCTCAACTCCATTCCGGTGAGTGCTCCAGGTTCACAGAGTTTTACTATTCAGAAGCACAAAACAGATGAAGCAGACAAACACACACACACACACAGAGGCACTTTGCATATCATTCTAAGGCAAGTTACTTTTTAAATAGCAGAAGAAATATACAGATCTATATGAAATAATGAACACACTAGTATGCTTGTCCCTGCCTCAGCTTCCTCGCCATGATGGAGAATTCTTAAAAGTTTAGGATAGAGTCCTCTCAGGAGTTCAAAATCAACACCTCCTGTAGTTCATGGCTTCTCATCTGGATCATGGAACCTCTATCCCTGACGCAGCGTTTCAAAGGGGCAACGCTGTGGAGCCTGGGGTCAGCTGGGGATTCCCCAGATAATTCCAGGCTCCACACAGCATTTCCCCAGCTGACCCCAGGTTCCAGGCAAGCGCTGTGCAGATCCTGGGGACAACTGAGGAGTCCCCAGCTGATCCCAGGTTCTGCTGAAATGCCGCAAGGAACCTGGGGTCAGCTGGGGACTCCCCAGCTAACCCTGGGCTCTACATGGCATGCAGTGCAGCATGGAGACCAGGGTCAGCGGGAGACTCAGAGTGCCCCACTGACTTTGGGCTCCATGGCTTTGAAACGCACCAGAGCCCCCTCTGGGGGCTCTGGTGCATTTCAAAGCAGGCACCTACATGCAGCCCAGAGTCAGCAGGACTTCCCGCTGGTCCCGGGTTGTATGTGGAGTTCCACGTTTCTCCTTTGAAATGTACAAGAGCCCCTACTGGGGCTAGGAATGCGGAAGTACTTATCAACTAGTCGAGTAGTCATTGGAAATTCCATCGACTACTCAACTAGTCAATTAACCGCAAATCAACATCCCTAGTACGGAGTTTATAATCTAAATCAGAATTTGTAAGTAGTACCCTGTCAGATTTCCCAAATTGTCATGCACACAGTAAGTAATACATTCTTACCTATAAATAGAAAAGGAAGTAATCGATCTGATAAGGGATGCCACCGCTCCAACTTTACCAGCTTCAACTGCTCCCTGTAATCTGTATTTGACTGTTTCTTCATAACTGACGAAAGGCTGATTGTAAACAACAATCTTCCCCTTGGCGTCTTGAGCTCTTTTGTGTAGATCATCAAAAGAAGTGACCACTAGGACTTCAGCAGTAATTCCTAGAAGTAAACATCACAGTAATTTTAGATGTGTCATCCTATCACCAGGCCTAAGCTATTTCGGTACATACACAAAAATACACGTCCTATAAAGCATGCATAATGCAAATCAAGCAGTGGAGGTCAAACATAAAAACCTCTTACTAGAAAAAATTGGAGGTAAAGTACTTCCTCAGAGAAGGCTATTCAATATGTCCTTAATAGTGAAAATCATGTTATCAGCTGATGTTAAACAGAAAGGAACAGCAAGAGGAGATGTGGGAAAAGACTTTTTCCAAATAGGCTTTAATGTACAAATGCAATAATTTATAGTGCAAACACATTTTTAAGGATTTAGCTTAGGAGCCAGAAGGAGTTTCTATGGGATTAATAATACAGATATTTAATCTTCTCTTGTAATCGTTCTGTTATGTTGCTAAACATCTTAGGCTGATGTCACACATATGAAAATACATAGTTTTGCAATGAAACACTTATGTGTTCTCTACACTACCAAGCTTCGTTGACAAAACTTATGCCGACACCTAAAAGTCAACAAAATAAAAATAACCAAAGGTTGTTCACACTTTCTCCCTCTGTTGACAGATCGTGTCCACGTTGGAAGCACCATCATCAACAGTGTAAGCAATATGCTATGGGCATATATAGCACAGTGCAATGTTGTGGGACAGTGGAGCTGATCACTGCGCATCTTGTGATTTCCTCCAAGTTCTCCCACAGTCTCCATGAGTAACTCGGTGACATCTCCATGCTAAGGAATGTCAAAGTTTCCCCTCCCATCCCACACCCCACAATCCCAACAGCAGTCTGCCTGCCGCTGTGTTTCTAGTGTGGGGCAGAGCAGAAGCATTCCATTCAAACAATTTGCTCTTTGTTTCCCAAAAGGAGCAGCACACTCAGCTGTCAGACACTTCCTGGATCTTTGAAAGGGGAACGGTGCATGCCTGCAGGGCAACAGAGATCAAAACACTGAGGGTACGTCTACACTACCAAGTTTGGTTGAGGAAAATAATGTTGACATGCCAAAGTCTCCAAAAAAAAGTGGTCAAAGCATGTTTACACTTGCTCCCTCTGTCAACAGATTGTGTTCACATCTTTAGCTCCCCTCTTGACAGTGTCCAGCAACACCATCTGGCACTAGGTGTTGTGGGACCACGGAACAGGGAGTGAGTAGTTTTGGGACTGTACAAAATGTCCCATCAGGCACTACTTTGTTTCATGGCTTCCGGAGTCCATGTGCCCTTTTTCCAACTGTCATTCTCTGCTGTGCACTCCAGCATCTGCAGCGAGAAAGAATGGACCCCACACTTCTCCTGCATGCTCTCAACTGCCATTAACCTTGTGCATGGCAGCGAAGATCATCTTGAAGCTACCGACAGAGGGGCTTGACAGTGTGCAAAATATGGACAGAGGCAACCTGTCATTGCATTTGGCACTCAAAGAGCAGCTGTACAGGGTAGACGATTGCTTCTGAGCTAGGGAAATTAACACTGATTGGTGGGATTGAATTGTCATGCCGATGAGGGGATGAAGATCAGTCGCTGGAGAACTTTAGAACACGGTTACTTACTTTCATAACTGTTGTTCTTTGAGATGTGTTGCTCATGTCCATTCCACTTAGGTGTATGCATACCGCGTGAACGGACTGTCAGAGTTTTCTCCCATAGCAGTACCCGTCAGCCAGCCAGGGAGCTCCCTGGAGTGGTGCTGCTATATCGGTGAATATATACCCCCACTGGCCCTCCAACCCTTCAGTTCCTTTTTGCCAGAATACTCTGACACAGGGGAGGTGGGTGGGCTGTGGAACAGACATGAGCAACACATCTTGAAGTAACTGTTTTTCCTTTGAGTGCTTGCACATGTCCATTCCACTTAGGTGACTCCAAAGCTATACCCCAGGAGGCGGGACTGGACCGCACCGAGAGATGGACTGCAACCCAGCTCTACCCACAGCAGCATCCTCCTTAGTGTGGAAGAAAACATTGTCCTCACTCTGAGTTTGTAAGCAACAAGTAGCCAGAGGCAGTTTTATTACGAGCTGCAGCAAGGGAAAAACTGGTTCGGACAGGGGGGAAGCCCCCCCC